TATTACATGTACTATTTTCCAAATAAAAGCCTTGTTGAATTTGCCACCAGCGCAACAATAACAAAGTACATAATATTATAGTTTATATGTAGCATAAAAATGAACAATTGCAAAAATGGGGGAATAAGAGCCAATGACTTCTAAGCATTCAGATCATCCTATGCCTACCCAATAATACTTTCCAAGTTCAACTTGAAAAATAAGGACAGCCATCTTAGCTTTACGCACATTTGACTCATTTAAAGCTATACTTCTCATTTTTGGGTAAGAGGGGAGGATAATAGTATAAATAAATTAATTAATAAATAAAAATAGTATAAAAAAGTATGATACATAACCCAATACACCATAATAAGTGTATTATTGCCAACTGTAATCCTTTTACATAATTTCTCTTTCATCATGATGGCATTCATTGGTGAAAAATACTTTTTGCAGATTTGTGTGAATATATTGCGTGCAATACACTCTGAAATCTTAATTAATAATTTTTTGAATAAAAATCACCTTGAAAGCGCACCCAAAATACACCAAAAATGCAGTTTTTTACATTTTTTTCAACGTTGCACCACTCAAAAAAATCTGAAAAAAATATATGTGATACATCTAAAGGTTATGTACAACATATATTTTTTTCAGTTTCGCACCTCTAAAAACGAGCTCAAAATGGGGTTTTGAAATCTTTGACATCCAGTTTGGAGGTCAAAAAGTCGTGCAATCTGACTCAAAAAATTTACACTGATGCGTATCACTATAAGTTACCTATGATAAAAATTTGAGCCAATTTGGTCAATCCAGTGATGAGAAAAAAATTATTTTTCAAATACGCGTTTTTTTTGAAATTTTGAGCCTTAGGGGAAGAATTGGGGGCTGAAAACGGGCCTAAAAATTTTGTTTCGAGTTGGGTAACAATCTGGCTTGATTAAAAAGTCGATTGGCCCGGGGGCATTTTGACCCCCTTATTCAGAAATGTCCTTTTATGATGAATTTTCATTTTTTTTTATTTAAAAAAAATTTTTTTTTCAAATTCTTGAATTGAAATTTTTTTTTGTATGTTTTTGTAGATTTTCTATAAATAAGCTGAAATTGTTTTTCGTTTTCACTTATTCTTATCTGTACATCAATGTTTGATGGATAACTAATAACTCGTATGAAACGTCAAATTGATAAATTTTCAAATGACTTGAACAAAGAGCTGAAAAACAGGTGAATATAAGATGATGGAGCATTGAAAAATTATGAATAGTTGATTTTGATTATAAATACCTCACTAGCCAATTGCCTAATTGAAGCCGGCGTTGATCCAGAATTATTGATGAATTTTTCCAGCTCGGCAATCTTTTCCAAAGTACGATTCAAAGCTATAGCCGATTCATTTTTCGCCATCTCGACTTTACGAGAAACCGTATTGGACACATTTAATGCATTTTTGGCTTCTGTTCGCGCTTGCACGACCTAATTGGAATTGAAAACAATATAGAATAAGTAGATTCGAGAATTCTGAGTGCCAGGGAGTAATTAGTATGTATGAGTCAATCAAACATTTTGTTTTGTTCCTAATAATTACCGAGTTTTTGAGTACTTTTGAAATATTTTGGGTCTTACGAGTCCCAAAATATCATCTAGTTACTGGAAGATGCCCAAATTGCATCGATTTTTGGACATTGAAAAACCGTGTTTTCGAAACATGGAATTTTTTACTTTCTACCGTACTTGCTGGCACTTGAGAGATGTGACATACAGGATTATCGTGAAGGTAACCTACCCCTCGATACAGCTCTCCAATTTTCGTTTCTTTATCCTGAACCAATTTCTCTGTGTCTTTTGCGAATTTTAAAGCATTTTGTGCCTTCGTAACCGCACCTTCGTCGCAAGATAAACCACCGCATTTGCCGCATCCAGCTCCGCCGCACAGTTCATTGCAAGGGTCACCTGCTTTGTCGCAAACCTGAGCCACAAATAATTAATCAAGGCCAGAAGCAGAATTTATGGAGTGTTCTCAAGGTTACCTGTTGGTTTAGTCCGGGAATTTGCATTTCCAACGATGACACGTAATTCGACAGTTTTTGCAAATTGTTGTCATTTTCTTGTAAACCTTGGCTGAACTGAGCACTGTACTTGTTCATGACGGCTTCAGTTTTCTTACACGATCTGTCAGCTTCGCTAACGATAGTCGCGGTGTTCATATTTTTCAGTTTCACTTGTTGCGCCCGATTGTATGCTTCGCGAGTCAGATTTAGAGCACCTGCGCAAAACCAAAGTATTAACAAGGCTATCCATGGAATATGTGTAAAGCCAAAAAAGCAAATTCAACCTTCAACATTGCCTTCCTGTAATTTGGTAGCGTTATCTTTGAGGGACTGAGAGCTTTCATTCAGACTTTGTGCTTTTGCCTTCAGTTCATTGAGAGACAAATTGAGTAGAGTAATGCGCTGAGTAACATTTTCTGCTTGAGTCCGACATCCGTCATTAAATCTGGTGATATAATACTGGATCTAGGGGACAAAAATGGGTGAATGATCGAAATGCTTTTGCAAAGAGACGAGTAGTGGTGCTGATTATGGTTTAGATTAATCGGTTTTACATCAAAATTGGGATAAAAAAATTGATTTTAGATTTGATTTTCTGATGATTGATTTAATTGAGCTTTTCAAATAATCTCTGGAGAAAGCAAAAACGAGGAAGAAAAACTGACTTGAAAACAGCTGCCACAGAAATGCAAAACTGAGTTTATTGAAAAATTTGTCAAAATTGATGAATTGGGCAAAATCGATTTTATGAAAAATGTTTTTCAAAATCGATTTCAACTCAATCAATTTCGAAATTGAACAGAATCGGTATCACTAGATAAGTCGCTTTTTTTTTTTTTTGAAAATTAAGTTTTCATCAGTTTTGTGGTCAAGATCAAGGCCCATTTACAGTGTGACCATTGTTGGGAGAATCGTCTTCAAAGTTGAGGATTTTCACAAAAAAGCATCACAAATCAAAGTTCATTTTTTATTCATTAAATTTTGAAAAATGTAACTTTCCGTGTTCAATTGACTGATGGAAAAAATTAGTTCGAATCAAGATGTTTACCTGACATTAGCAATTAATTGGTCAAGCTCCTGTAACTGAAGCGAACTGGCTGTCGTATTCTTCAGTGATTGTTGAACCAGAGCCAGTTTCTTTTCCATCATTTCAAATTCTTTGACGTACGATCCTGATGCTCCAGTTCTCATTATTTCTTGAGCTTTTTCGGCAATTAAATTGGTTTGATCTGAAAATTTGAATTTATATTTTAGTGGAAATTGAAAAACCATATAGCTGCGTCAATTAATTGAAGAATGCTTGGGGGAAAAGGACGTTTTCAGAATGACAGTTTTATCAGTTTTTCTTTTATTCTTATGCCATTCTTGGTTGTATCATTCCATCGGATTGAAACCATAAAAAAAGCTGGTGTTTCCCAGCTGTTTAGAATTGAAATTAGCATTTACAAGTACTAACTTTTCAAATCATTTAATATCAAATCCCAGTTATTGAAACATTCTCCGCAAGTGAACAATATGGCATCTGCCCCAGGAAACCTCGAGCGCACTGATCGCATTTGGGACCTCCGATGCCCAGTACACAGACACAATGGCCAGTCTTTTGATCACACTGCATGCTGGCAGAACCCTCTGGATTACACTCGCAATCTGAAACAGAAAAAAAAATTTCCATAGTGAATTATGTCACCATTTTAGTGGATACAATTATATGATGGTAGATTATAAAGATGTTACAGGGTTCCAAGTGAAGCCGAGGGCTGCAATTGCACAAGGCTGTCCCTTCACTTTACTGTGGCATTGTATTTTAAATCAAGTCAAGAAGCAAATGATTGGGACTGTCTATGAAGAGTCCCCACCTGGTGGTAAGAAATAAATCTAATAAAAATGAGACAAAAATGTTTTTCACGCGTGAAAAATCGACAGTTGCGCATGCACAGTGACACAAAATTTTGGACAATACTGTCAAAAATTGAATCTTCTCTTCTCATTCTCAGCAAGATCAACGCTAATACTTTCTGAGCTTGGATAGTCCCCAATGAAGTACACATATGGCACTGGAAAGTCAGGTGGAACTGAGCCGAGTCACTTTCGCCCAGCCAGAGTTTTTTATGTTACACATTTGAGTAATTTTGTTTTCCACCACTTTTTGCGGATCATCCCCATCATCTTGGATAAACTATCGTTTCCCAGACCAAAAATGAGAGTGACATGCTTATTTCTCCATCGTCTTCGATTCAAAGTTACTTACGGAAACATTGTTTGTTCGGATCACCCCAGTAAGGTGTCTGACACTGATCACAACGACGTCCTCCAAATCCGTTCTTGCATGTGCACTGTCCATCAAACTATAAACAGAAAATTGAAAGATCACTATCAGCTGACAGTACCCTGGGGAAAGGCAAATAGAGATAGAGATGGGAAATCGATTGAATTTAATTGATTTCTTCTCAATTCTTATCATTAAAAGTTGCCCTTATTTTGTTCAATTTTCTTGACAATTATTTGATTCTTTTTAATTT